GACTGTTCCAAACGCGTGCAGCAGAAAGAGACACGGGATGAGTTCTGGCTGGAAGCTGCAGCAGATGTTGTTGGGAGCCGCGCGTTTGGCCAGCTCTAGTCGGAGTGACACAATCTCCAAATAACGCGCTGATCAGCGACTGCTCCATGGTGGAATGTAGGCACGGGTGGACCAGCGAGCACATTGTCTCACGCAAGAGCTGGTGTACACGAAGAAGGTTGCGTCTTTGTGGTCCACGTTCTTTTTTTGGAATGTAGGCACCGGTAGACCAGCGAGCACATTGTCTCAAGCAAGAGCTGGTGTACACGAAGCAGGTTGTGTGCTGCATACACGGGAGTTATACGGGTACGGGAGCTCAGGCTGTACACGGCTCGCAGGGCTAGGTTGCATAGGCGTTGAAGTCTCTCCTCGTTATCCTTAGAGAGAGAGCTAAAGAAAGCTGAGCATCCATAGCGGATCCTGGAATCGGTTCGACTGCAGAGAGAGACACTTCCGATTTATCCACAGCGCTCCTATAACCTGTCGAGACGTTTTACAGATACGCGTAACGTGGCTTTAACCATGTCAGGCGATCGTCTACAATCAAGTCTAGATACTTGGTCTGCGACACAACACGGAGCACAGCGCCACAGCATGTCACAGGCGCTGCAAGGGATCAAGGGTGCTCCGTGTAGCAATGTGCAACACACCGGTCTTGGTGGTGTTGAGGCTCAAACCCCGTCCATTGAGCCAGACGGCGAGACCCGTACCTGCGACACTAAGCTTAGGGCTGATGTCTGCACGGCTGGATGATGATGTATCTAAGGTGATATCATCGGCGAATTCTTGGTGACAAATACCAGGCGGTAGATGAGAGTCGATGGAACTGATGTAAACAGGAAAAAGATACGGGCCGAGAACGCTGGCTTGCGGTACACCACTTGAACACTCCGAGTAGCATGACGATGAAGAACCAACTTCAACGCCTTGTTTCCGACCCGACAAGTAGCTGGCAAACCAGGCCAGAGCAATGCCACGTACACCTATTCCGTGAAGATCATCTAGCAGCGTATGGTGGCGAACCTTATCAAACGCTTTTGATATATCGACAAACACAATACCAGTGGACTGCTTCCGTTTGGAAGTATTTCAGCTTTTGGAAAGAAAAAATTCAAAATTGCATATTTCAAGAACCCCAAAAAAGGATGATGGAAGACTTGTTCTCCGTGTTAATAGAGGTGTTCTCCAGTCTGCAGGTGTATTGTTTTTTCATAATTGAGGATTTAGCTCGTTATTTTGTCAGTGTTCGTAGTTTTGCTATTTTCAAGACAATCATTTGTGGCGTCAGGGGGTAATGGTCTTTTTGGATGTTAGAGTGGCTAAGCGGTACCGTCCCAGGAACTCTTGTAGGGTAAGGCAATGTTGGCTTGATGGAGTTTTGTTCATAGCTTGTTCCTATACGCTGTACCCGTGGTTCGTTTCTGGACCCATAAACCATGGGATTTTTCAATTCTTTTTGAGGGGTTTGGAAAATGCCAAGGTTCTCTTCAGAAACTTGTTTGTGGGCTTTGCAAAGTCGATCTACACCCTAGTGGAAGCTATGTATCAATTACCACTTTGCAACACTATCTTGATGCCTCTAATTGCACCCCGGCATATTCTGTTTTTCTTGACCAGCACCCTGCTCATTTACAGTCGCTTTTAAAATTGGTTTTCGCCAGTTTGTACCACCCGAAGCCGCGTTTGTCTCTCCCTATCTAGGTCTACGGTATTGGTAAATTCTCTTTTTTGCCTCCTACTCCACGAGGCTCCAACTGCCTCCCAGTGTTAGACAAGCTACAGATAAGCCCAAATGTCGTACTCTCATCAGACAGCACTTCAGTATGTACCATAGCTACACAAAGACTATTGTAGTAGTAGTAGCAGCAGTAGCAGTATTTATTATTTCACTTGGGTATACCCAACAGGCCGATGGCCCCCTTACAGGGTGCCCAAGGAGAAATTGTGAGCAGCTAGCGCGAAAAGCAGGCAAGGTACGCTGGGATCGAATGATAGCGGGTAGTGCATTAAAGCGGTCAGCACCAAGAAATGAGAGACTGTGAAGGCCTGGCCGAGACATGAATGGGGGGAAAAAGAGACTACTGGATGTTTGGCCTCTGGTTTGGGAGGTAGTGTGGGTAGCATCATTTCGGGTCGTAAAGATTTGGGAGATGAGGGGACTGCCAAGGGACCTGATGCACCGAAAGTAAAAATGAAAAGCTTAAGAGTGAGGCGTTGGCTGAGTGGGAGGAGGTTGTGGCAACGCAAAATGGGCTCAACATCAGCACGAGAAGGGTAGGCAAAATGCAACACGAACAGCTCGGCGGCTCAGTCCTAGAAGCTTAACCTTTTATGTACTGAAAAAATTGTACACAGACTGAATTTGATCTCGACTCACCTCTAATTCTATAATTATCTGGGTCATAACTTTAGTCTCCTTTTGACGATTTTTTCAATCTTGGGTTTCCTGGAAAGCTCGTCGCAAGAGGAACACATTGAGCCCGCGCTTGCCACCACGAAGGTCAAAACGCCAGCGCTACAGCCCAGCGTCTTAGCTGCAACGCCAATATTCCGACAGAAGTCGTCTTGCATCAGCCATTTCGCTCTCCTTGCTCGTAACAACTAACTGTTACTTGAAAATCACAAACTGCCATGAGTCCGTTTACCATTTTGAACGTGTTTCTACGTCACTGCATGCCCAGAATGATGGGGAAATCCCTCATTCAAATTTGCGCGAGCGGCTATTGAGCGACATTTGCCGCGATTCGACTTTCGAGCTTCGTAACTCTGGAACCACACATCAGAGCGCTTCAGTGATTGTTTCAATGGACAGCTGGGAGTTTTCTCTTTGACCTACATATTTTAGTTTTCGGATATAACCCAGGAACGACTGAGTTACGATCGATTGAAATTTTGAAAAGTTTCGATCCCAGGGGATCGAAAGTTGTACAGTCCGTACACAAAGGGTTAACGTATTCTGCAGCGTGTAATTAATGAACATATGATGTGCTTGCGTACTCTAAGTTGCTCTGTATAACTCCGAAATAGAAAGCTCGGCGGGCCTTACTGTCCAGGTTGTCTCTGCCTCGCCTAAAAGCACCTTGCTTCTTATTAATGTCATCACGGAGGTGGGAGATATGGGGTCGGAAGGTCAGGTGCTCATCGATGTGGAGCCCAAGATACTTACATGTAGGTGACGGGGTGATGACAGTCGTGTCGCACAGCACTGATGCAGTCACAGGAAATGAGTCACTGGCACGATGGATGATCAGGAGTTCGGTTTTCTTTGGGTATACAAGAAGGCCACGACCATCAAAATACGATTTAAGAGCGGCGAAATCTTCTGATAAAACCCTCAGCATGTTCGAGGTGTTGGACACTTTGCAGGCCTTTGATAGGTAGTTGTCGTCATCGTAGAGTAGAGAGTCACTATTTACACGTGTTGGTACCTCTCTTGTGTATATCGTGAAGAGGACAGGTCCCAGCACCGATCCTTGTGGAACTCCTTTTGTGCATGCGACGGAAGTAGCATTCTGACCAGTTCGGCGATATTCCACCTGCTGGTATCGGTCGGACAGATAGCCTGCAAACCAGGACAAGGCTGCGCCTCCGATGCCGCATTGGAAAAGATCATCCAGGAGGGTGTCATGGCGGATTCGATCGATTACTTTGCTCATGTCTAGATATAACACACCGACCACGTTCCGCTCTTCCAAGCTACACTGTCATCTGTTTATGGTGCAGCTTAGCGCATCCGCAGCAGAATGGTGGGACTTATAGGCAAATTGCTGGGGAGGAAGAATGTTGAGTTCGGGGTTTGTCTTCGATGTACTTTCTCAGCTGTTTCAGAACGATCTTTTCGAGAAGCTTTGAGACTATCGGGAGAAGGGAAATTGGTCTGTAGTTGCTGGCTTGACAGGGATCTCCAGCCTTGAGCAGTGGGGTAACAGAGGCAATTTTGTAAAGGTTCGGGAAGATACCAGTGGCCAGTGACTCATTGAAGATGCAAGTGAGACTTGCGGCCAGTTCATCAGCGCATATGTGCAGTATATTTGCGGGGATACCACCCGAACCTCTGGCTTTGGAGACGATTACCTCTCTCAGCATAGGTGATGTTGACCATAGCTACACAATGACTATAGGTGTAGTGGACAATAGCTATGATGATCAGATCGACTCAATATCCGAAAAAGTATTGTCAAAAACAAAGCTTTCAAATGGTACCAATTGCACAAGAGCTGCAGAGCATAACACTCTGTTCAGAACGCAATTGCAGAACATGAAAACAGAAAATGATTATCACACGTGATAGACCGTCCGGCTGGATCATTTCCCTCTTCTTTCCCTTGTCCGACGTGCCTTCGTGGGACAGAAACAATTTCTTCTCGTACACTTTCCATGAGGACCTTTTCTACCGACGCAAAACGTTTACCATCACGGCCCCTACAGAATCTTTTGATTGGTCTGGCGATGCACATACACTAGTGGAGCTAGCTACCAAATGAGTCTCTTTTCGTACGTCCATTATTACACGAACGAAGGGGAATGAAAAAGCATCCGTTCTGAACAAGTGTCAGACGACAAAACGCGACTCAGACTTGGTGGCTGACAGATACAAGCTGCACACAAGGCAAGCACGAGGCAAACCAATAAGAATTTGAACATGACTTAATTGCTGCTGGAGCAAACGTCCTTTTATATTAATTTTACAAGTAAAACAGAGAAGATCAGAGTCGTGATAACACCTTTCACCTCGAAGGATCAAACGGGCTGGACAGTTTAGCAGCATTGGGGCAGTATGCATCAGTTCATGTTGAGAAGATTACAAGGTAGTACTTCGAGTACGGTGAAGTTCATGGAGAATACGGGCAAAAGAGGGAAGGTAATTATGTGAGTGGGATGGTTTATGTCTTTTGTGGACATACCAGGTGCCTGGGTGAAGTGTGCTATTGTGTTGATCTGGTGTGATGATGTGTGTACAGGTCAGGTTTATGTGTCATTGAGAGCTCCATCACTTGGTGTCAGTACAGCATACACAGTCTACTACCTGAATGGATCAAGTACAGCACAGGTTGGACAGTTCTATTTACCAGCATGCCGTGCTGAAGGACTGGCTACTGGTGGTAATGGTCAATATATACGACTGACTAATACTAATACCAGTACAACTGTAGCTGAACGGGGAGCATTCGATCTTACACCTGCCGCCATTGCAACACTACTCTGGAACACCTCGTCACATGACACTCTGGACCCAACCTACACTGGACTGTACAGGTGTACTTCAGATGTAGGAGATGCACCACGGACATATCAACTCAATGTTGTAGGTGTGTTAACAATGCCTGTGTGTATTGTTAGTAAACATGGCGAGAAACTTGGCATAGGTATTCTCGGTATTAGACTGAACGCTTGTTACATTGTGCATGAACCCAAGATGGTGATAGCATGGCAAGCTCTTCCCTTTGTTCCATCATTAGTATGTGTACCTGGAATCGTCGCGGGTTTTGACAAGAGAAATCGATCCATCTAGTGGCTACCTACATGTAGTTAGAGGACCAAAATAGTTGCCATCCAAATTTGCTAGTTCCCACAGAGCCACAGGCTTCCACTTCCAACAGTTTTCATTGGAAATCTAGCATGCTAGATCGAAAAGTCCAGCGTGAGGAGTCAGAGTGACTCCCCGAGAGAGAGAGAGAGAGAACGAAAGAGACAGCATCAGAAAACCCCTAGAATCGAGGATAAAGACTAGCAAAATAACTCCCTATATACGTTAAAAGTATGTGATGTGAACGTTTTGCAGCAAGAATGCATGTAAAACATTGCTACACCTTAAATAGCAATCAGCCAAATTGGGTAATTAGTACAATGAACAAAACGGGGAGCCCGCTCATCCAAATAATAGGATGTGAATGGTCAAATGTCTCCATGTCACCTCTGTTCCACTGTAAGAGCTATGTGATTTTGCCGTTTTTAAATATTTGAACGGGATTTTCATGCTGCAGCATGGATCAACTCATTGCTACCCTTAGTTTTGAGAAGCCCTGGATGTTACTTAGCACCGAATATAGTACCACCTTCTAACATCCCTACGCAAACAGCTTTATTTCGATACCTCACTTTACTTCTTCCAATGAGCATCCACGGCATGGCATAATTATGTTTCCTTCTTGACATTGCGAGCTATGATCCGTCCTTTCTTCGCAAATCAAACTGGGCCCCAAACAAAGGGTTGTTAATTTTTGGGAGGTAAGTTATGAAATATGGCGAGAGTCTGAGTCCCAAACAACCAAGTAAAAACAGATTCGATCCTGTGCGCGACAAGGAAACAATTGTTCGGTGTTACCTGCTGTTCACACTCCCATCCCCTCTATCCACGGCACTTCGGCCTATCACCTACCATCACGCCTATCTAGTTGACACCTTTACATCATATATAACCCTGTGCAGTACGAATAAAGTTCATTCTTTTCCTCAACCCGCAGTAGCCGGTTACACTGGTAGCAGGAAACAATTATTCGGCGGCATACATATACACACATATACACACTGGCATACACACAGCCACAAGCACACACACATACACGAACATGCACACATGTACATGCACTCACACACCTGTCCTGTCCTGTCCTGAGAAGCGACCAACGTTAGGGTCACGCGAGCCCCGGAGGGGTAGGAGAGAGAGAGGAGGAGCAGTCTGTGCGCCAAAACCACAAAAGTCTTCTAGAAGTTGCACTTTTATTTGCAACTGCGGGAAATTCGAGGGGTCTGCAGAATAAAGTTCTCAAGGGGACTCAAATTTGACAAACAAGACTACGACTAGCGCTTGAGCATAGCACCTTTTCGCCATTCCTTCGTGCATGGTACCCATTCCAATTGATAAACGTTACCCTCATGATTCGTTTCATGCGCAACCTAAGAAGTCTTCACGAAACAAAGGTAAAGGAAATTGTCGTCTTCGCGACACCCTCAAATTATTTAGTGGGGCATTGTGGGCCAAGGGTATTTTTTCTTTATCTTTGTACCTGTCCCCAGGTACTGGGACTGCGCTGATATCCGAGGAGTTTTGTTGGTGCAATAATGCCAGGTTACTAACTTATGGCGCGGTTTGTCCACCCAAGCTATAGTAGATTTCTTGGATAACTTAATATACTTCCTCCGTATACAAAAGCTTCGTGACTTTTTTTAACGGTGTTTTTGAGCAAGAACCTGCTCAACGAACGACGCCAAAGGCTGTCATCGACAACCCACGTCCATGTCGAGGTTAGTTTGATTGATCTCGAACAGATTCTCCACGGACGTCAGGCGTGTGAGGACGTTGCGGAGAGAAACTCAAGAGTCAAAAAAACTAACAATTACTTGCTGGAAACTGACACAGTGTAGCTCGTGGCTGGAGCACGGAGTCACGCGGCACTCGCTGCCCTGAAACTGGCCAGGCTCGTACTTGCGGTGCGCGGCCCCATAGATCCGCGCAGCGTGAGAACATAGATTTGCTTCGCTCGCACGGCAAGATGAAACATTTCAGTCGTTTTGCAACCCGCGCAGACTCAGGATCAGAATGTCGATGGCCTGGCTTTCTTCGCCTCTCTCCAGTCAGACATCTCCTTTGCCGCAAGGGGAATCGCAGGGACCGCCTCGAAGCCATTGTAGAATGCTTGGAAGGATTATCCTCGCGAGAAAATGCGAAGCGTGTGGATGTGCTTGTACGACTCGTTTCACGGCATAATGGAGGTCGCGGGTTGGAACGACTGAATTATAGTCGACACAGTTTCGTACACAGCTATAGAGATGAAGAGGACGTAGCCAAAGTCCAGCGTCGGATCATCACTGCAGGTGACAAGAATCTGAACGAAATGCGAGCGGAAGCAGCCACTGTTGGCGATGCGGAGTCAGCGTCGTCAGGTGACAAAGACATGAGCGACGAAGACTCTGAAAAAATTCAATCTCATTCGTCTGAGTTGCTTTTTTCTTTGTATATAGCTTGTAAACATGTTAGACAATGCCACGAGTGTTATTCCGAGTCAAACGGAACAATTCCAGAGCTGTGCGCAGCTTTAAGAAAAAGTCACAAAGTTTTTGTATACGGAGGAAGTATTATTATACATTGACAAATATTGCAGCGGGCATCCAAAGGTGTTGAACCAAACAAATATGGTAAGATACTAAGAGGTTATGCACACAAAAATCACTCAGGTAAGGGACGCAAGTTTGGGGGCCTTGGTGCGTCATTACACCCGGACCGTGATTGTGGGCCGGCGCACGGCTTTTGCTTGACCACTTCATACAAGTTTACGTACCTACTCAATTCGAAAGACTGGAACGAGACCAAACCGAACGTGACAACAAAGGAAGAGTTGTATATATCTTGGAACAACGTTCGGGCATTGCGAGAAGGATCTCAGCAGGGTCCAACAATGGCAGCAACAGCAGCAGGTGATGGTGGAGTACCAAGGAGCTTGTATCATGCACGTTACAGTGAACAACAAGAGAAACTATACCGTGGTACATGAAATCAGAGCCTGGGCAGGATGATGGACACCGCACACTGTGCTACAGCGTCTGAGTCAAAAATTGTGCGGGAGAAAACAAACAGACCAGGAAGCACAGAACATAAACTAGTACACAACATTGACGAACCACAAAACCGTACAGCAAAGTCTGTATAAGTCTGTAGGGCATAGCCAAGCGTTTTGTCGCCAATAAATTGCTTGAGAAGTGAGCAGTATTCTTTGTAACATTGCATGGGTTATAGGAGAACGCAGAGTCAGAACCAAGACGTAACAAGGGAAGATGGCTACTCATCACTTGCGTACTCGCGATTTTGGTACAACCAAGAAATTTGACCTCGCGTCATACCGAAGTGGCTTCGACAAACTACATTGCACTCATAACTGTATGGTGAATCTGCGACACGAGCTTCTGCAAAACAGACAGCATGCCAATGACCTGCAAGCACCAACAAACGCAGCCGGTAAAACAAACGCTACATAACTTCCCAACATAAACTTGCACAAGCTGATGAGAAGCAATGTCTTCAAACCTCAATATTAATCCCCGGTGCAAACAGTCATCGGATGAACACGCCAGGTACGATCCAAGAATGCGTTTGATGTTGGAAGTTATGGTCGCGTATTCAAAAACATGCATGGACGTACAAGTACATCAATGGCATTGTTCACGAATACAACAGATACAATTTGAGTAACTTGAGTATTCCTTCCTCCGTTTTGCATACGCACGCGTGGTAGATAAATTCGTACGGCATGACTTTCGATCGAGGTGGCCTTCGCCGTAGTGGTAGGTGAACTCAAACCCCACACCTCTCACTTTCACTCTACTGCCCCTTTGGGGCCGATGTGATCCTTGCGGCAGTGGCTCAACAGAACAGGACAGGTGTATGTGTGTGTGTGTGTGTGTGTGTGTGTGTGTGTATGTGCGTGTGTGTGTGTGTGTATGTATAAGTGGGTTATCTAAACTTTTCTCACAGTTGTACAAGTTCTATTTTTTCGTTAAAAAAACAGCTACGCTGGACGTGTACAATCGCATGTTGCTTATCTGGCGGTCAGTCACGTGTCGGCCTGAGCGGAGAAAAAAATCGACGGGTTCGCGTACCGGGCAAGTCATGAACAAGTAGTCGTACAAATCTCTGGTCAAGAACAACCTTTCCGCTCCGTGGGACGCCATCACCCGCGGATAGGCGGATAATGCTAGCATTGTTGTGAACCCTCTGGTTCTCTCAACTGTCAGGAACGAACGACCACACGGCACGAGGACAACTATTTATTCTCAACAGTATATTGACTTCGATCGACTTATCAATAATGAACAATGAATAGCTAACACTAAAATTACCAGGTAGTTATAGCGTGAAAAAGACAGCGTATATGAGAAAAGCATACACATACAACATATAACTGTAGTATCCCTGCCCGACCAATACGGAAGCAGTACGGAACTAATACGGAACGACCTTATGTTGTATCTCCGCATATAAGCGTACGGCGCCTGCTGCATAAAAGCAGCTGCGTTTTTCTGTTTTAAAAAGATTAGATTAGATTAGATTGGATAGCAATGAAAGCTAACTCGAAGAATAAGGATTCAGCCTCTAGGTGAGCACCGGAGAGAAAGTTATTTATTTTGCCTCTTCTTCTTTCACTAACGATTATATCTCAGGTGTGTACCTGAAAGTAGAATAAAAGTAATTGTTGTTGATTTCACCGCGCCTACCACTCGGCTACCCATTACATTGGTGGCAGCGGTGGAGTCGGGATACAACTGCATTGAAACTAACACAATGTCACTAGCGAGAAGGCCTTTCACTCACGAGGACTTGTGGTTGAGCAACAAGCAATATAAGTAGCATTATAGTGTGCGATTTGCAACGAGCATTATGCTAGCATTATAACACTACATTTTCGCAAAAGTGGCATTATACTCAAATATGGAAGTTTTGGCCACTACAAAAAATGGACCGTTACATGCCTTGTACATCGAACACCGCAACCTGCATAGGATTGTCCAAATTAACCATGCATACTATTGCGGTTTTGCTGGCATTATGGAGCAATAGCAGCGTAAAAGTGGCATTATGATCATGATTTTCTAGCATTTGCCATGCCGTCTACGTAGAACTACGAAACGTGCACAATCCTGACCAAACCTAGCCATTTTTCCATACTTACTATTGATGAATGGCGGCCAGAGGAACAGCAGCATTATAAGTAGCATTATGATACAGTTTTTCTGGCATTGCCATTAGCATTATCCCGCAAAATAACTAGCATTTTCCGCCCAGGCCTTGTCACGTGGCACGTCGGGTATTCAACAGCACCACACTGACAGTTTATGCAAGGTATATTTAGTATTTATAGTCCTCCTTCAAGTAAATGTAGACAGTGAGCATCATGAAAGTTGCCTTTATGCAGAGTTTGAAATCTTTTATTCTCACGATGGCCTGTGGCCAATAAGAGAAAAATAATTAAAGGCACAGGGATCAGAGAGATCGAAATTTAGCTGCTTGCTGAGGCATTAGCGATGGCAATAGGGAGTTTATCACATAGGCTGGGGGCAATGGAGCTATAGATGTGCTGAGTAGAATACAAGATTGTCTCTAGAGATGAGCGCGACGACTATTTCAGGATAATACTGGTGATTAATACAGGTACTTCGAAGTACTGTCTTTTTGATGTGTGAACACAAGATAGCTTCGTAGCTTCAGTCATCCAGAATATTATTTTTATTCCAAGTGTGCCGCATATTTGACACGCAACTGTATTTGTGCAAGTCGTCCATCGCTACGTAAGTTACTTGTCCACGGTGATGAGAAGTACTGCTCCTAATTTTTAAATCAGGAAAGGATTACATACGCAGGTAGATACACACAATGTGCACTACATGTACATGTATCTTGAAGTTGTGCGCAAATATTCAAAGTCATTCACCGAACACAGAGAGGCGCACACACACATGTAAATACGAAGGAACAACATGCGTAGCAAGGAGATTAGTCATTTCTTTTTTCCTGTCTGTCATGAATAATTTACTTATGAGTTGATGGATAGAAGTTTCCTTTCAGTCGGGCATCACCACTCATGAAAACAATAGTGATTGCTGTTGGTCTGATTCACAGGTAAATATTCGGCCCTTATCGCGATGTGTTTTCGAAGCTTGGCAGACAATTTGCATCAGGAAATCATGCAGAGATGTGGCATAAGGTGCTACAAACATTACCCAGATAATGGGATCCCATTATTTGCCTTTCCAGTATTTTGGCCTAGGATAATTTGTGGATGATTGTGTTGACCAATTTCACATAATTTCACAAAGGTCATTGTTTGTTTAGTGGGGTGTTGTAGTCCAAGGATCTACCACCATCTCCTTTACCTTTCGGCAAAGTAGACACTTTCAGCAGTTCACACAAAGAAATTCTTCAGTGCAAAACATACCGTTCGGACACACCAGCCAGTCCTTCCCAGCCATGATTTTAAAGTGCAGACGTATCCACGATGACCTTCGAGGGAACATGCTGGTTTCATTCCTTCCGGAGTTTCTGTAACATAGTAACGAATGTTCTGGCTGATTTCTACAATACGCATTTGTTATAACCCTTCCTCTTCTCAATCTATATACAGTATATTCTCTATTATACCTCATTCCATATTCACCCACATGCAATTGCCTATCTACATAAGTGATGAATATTGCTCATTATTCACCGCTTATATTCACCACTTGTTCACTTCCGATATGGTTTTTCCAGGAAAATTATTGAAAACAAAGCGTTCACAGACCCCATCAATACTCACTCCTTTTTAGGAAGGAGAGTTGAGAGACAGCAGTAGTATGTACAACTAGCAAGTGCAGCCATGAAAGCGAATAAAAATTAATTATACTGTGAAAGCAGGCAGGGTAGCAAAGAATAGCAAAGCATTGAAGAACAACGCCACAGCAATACTAGTACATTTGGGAAGCAATCCAGCACGCTTGTTACCGGGAAAGAAGAAGATGGCACTGACTGTTATTGATCACACTGTCCAGCTAGAAAATTCTTTCTTTATGTTTCTTTACGCCTCTCGTTCAATGACAAACAAAATCTCTTCTTCGGCTTTGAAGCGTACTTTGAACACCACATTCGAGAACGTTGCACCTTGAGTATTGAAAACAAACCCAGAAGGTGATGTATCTCCCTGATCGCTACAAAAACTCGTGTGTGAAGTAGCCTCAGTTACAGCAGACTGAGAAATTTCAGTCCTTTCTGAAACCGAGCATTCTGGGACTTTCAAATCGATAGCATCTGCAAACCTAGCTGATTCAGCGTAGCAAGTGAAATGACATTTTTGGGACCAGTAACAGTACAGATCTTACGGTCTTCAATGCCACAGCGTTTCATGTGAGCAATGCTCGTAGCACGCAGACAGTGGTTGGTATAGGAATAAGAAAGGCCGGCGGCTTCTGAAATCATCTTCATCATGGAGTCTAACTTATTATGGGAGAGCGGGCTTTTGAAAAACAAGCAAGGCAAATCGCTAGAGAGTATCATACCTGGTGAGCACGCAGCTCGCTGAAATAGCCTGTCAACGTCTGGGTGGATCTTCAACAGGGAGCACCTGATGATCCTCACCTGCCGTGGGTCCTTGATGCAGCCAGATGTTGTTGCCTCAGTTCCTTTTAATCCACCGCGGTGATTTTTACTCATGAAGTCGGTAGAAAGCGTTATACGGACTGTCGCCTTCGCCTTCAAAGCTGAGGTCCTGCTTTCTCAGTTTAGCCTGGATTTCGCCACCTCTCAAGCAGAAATGCGACGATATCTGGAACTTAACGTACATCGATAGCTTCTGCGGGTCCCATGAAGTGTCAGTATCTGCGAAGCACTCACTCATCTTCTCCTATCTTCTCGCTATCGCTGATGGGACGCTTATGTTGAACTGCTGGTTCCCGGCCTTCTCGCTTCTTCTCCTTCAATACAGCGTCCAAAACCTTGTTAGCCCGCTGGAATGCTCCATCGGTGAAAATGTTCACTATTGGCTGATGATTTGTGACATGTCGATGGAGTGCGGATCGAGCTGCAAGCAAGGAATTTCGCTTGTACTCAGAAAAGTTCTGTTTACGGACGTTGGCGTAGAACTTTTCTAGGGTATCCGCCAGCTCCGGTGCACTGATTGAAGAGAAATCAAGCGCAGCACCAATACTGCTCTCTTTACGGTAAGTATCGAAAACTCGTATCCTGTACGATGTGGCTGACGCTGTATCAGCCGGTGTTGATTGTTCCAACAAAGTTTTGATCTCGGCAGCACCTGCACTGCCAAACCATTTTTTCGGAGGAGGTTCATCAGACGGTATGCCCCCACATGAGCGCGACCCAAAACAGCGCCGTTGACTTCAGCGCCCCCCAAAAGCCCCATCCCCATAATTGGACATCCCCAAAACAGACCACCCCGTCAGCGCGCACGCTCAATACAGGTCGACTCATTTACACTCAAACCCAAAAGATGGACACTCGACTTGTCAAAGACTCAAATCATGATCAACTCGAAATGGCCAGTTCAGTATTGAAGGGCGATATTGCCTGGACCCAATTTATAATCAACTCTAGAAAGCAATGATGAACTAAAAAAAGCATTAAATTGTATCGACTCAAAAACACCAGTTCAGTATTAAATGGCGATATTGCCTGGATGGACGTTAACAGGTCCAGATACAAATAGGTTGTAGTCAACTCTAGAAGGCAATGATCAACTCAAAACAAGCAATGATCGTCTCAAAAAACAGTTAACTGTTAAATTTTTTGGTTTTCCGAAAATGGTAATCTTCAATGGATTGTCATTAAAACAGAAAAAGAAAATAATAAAGCACCCATTTTGATAGTCCAGGGGATGGCCCACGCCTGGTAAAGAGAAAAAAATAGAGAAAAGAAAAGACGGGTATTTCACAGGAAGTACATGTACATGTACAATGGGGACACAGTGCAGTTCAGTATTAAATGGCGATATTGCCTGGAGCGAATCCATGAACAAATTGTGGGCAGTCACGAGATGGCTTGGACGTTACCAAGTCCAGATGTAGGTTGTAATCAACTCTAGAAAGCAATGATCAACTCAAAAAAAGCAATGATCGTCTCAAAAACGCTAGTTCAGTATTACATATTTTGGTTTTCCGAAAATGGTAATCTGTGATGGACTGAAACAGAAAAATAATAAGGCACCCATTTTGATAGTTTTTGATAGTCCAGGGGATGGCCCACGCCTGGTAACGAGAATAGAGAAAAGAAAAGATGTTGAATGGCGATATTGCCTGGAGCGAATCCATGAACAAATTGTGGGCAGAGTCACGAAATGGCTTGGACGTTAACAAGTCACCGCAGCTGCAAGAGGTGATTGTGCTTCTGCTGGCCCCGAAACAAACTCGCTGTCCGTGCCAACATGCCAGAATATGGTCAACAGTCTCCCCCCCCCCCCCCCACGACTGTAACAAGGTAAATATTCAGAATTTTCGCTTCGCTCATCTTCCCTTCTTCGGTCCTACGTAACCACGAACCTTCCAAGTTGGAAGGTTGGTTTGCGCACTGGAGATGTGTTAGAGCTACATTGTAGGTCTCGGGCCGCTGAATGTCTCAGTAGCCTGTCAGTTTCGTGCCCTATTATCGCACAGTCACTTTCTGACTGTTTATCATCTTGTTACAGTCGTGGATAGTTGCTGCACAACTCGTTCTCATGTGTTTCTTCTCTTTTTTGCATATCTTTTTTAGGAACGGGTTTGCTCCTGATATCCACCATGGTAATACTAACATCAAGAGTACATAACCATGATAACACTGGTTATGTACTCTTGCTAACATAAGCCTGCACATTATGGGTCACGTGTGTAATGAGCTGGCTTATATTCGGACATTAACGTAATTGGTCGCGCCAAAATGGGGCGTGCAAGAGATGAGACGAGCTGTAGTGACACCGTGTCACATTAGGTCGCGCTGTACTGGGGGTGCTAATATGAACACGCGCCGTTTATGGTTGCGCTGTTTTGGGTGTAAATCCATCAGACATATCTTCGACTTGAACTTGCCAAACTTTGAAGATAAGTGAAGGCAGAATGGCTTGGCTCGCTGTTTATACCGACTCCGGAATTGGCGCGCTGCTCCAAGATTGTTCAAATCTTCCCATCGAAACCGACGATGATTGGCTTCCGCCAAAAAGCAATATTCTAATCAAAACCAACCGGTAACAATGCAATCTTCTAATTGAAACCAACTTGTAACTTTTGGCTCCCGCCACAAAGCTGCACGAGCGTGTTCTCCAAGGTCGTCACCTCACATGCACAAGAACGTGTACGATCGATCCTCAATCAACACTGAGGTTGAACAAGACTCCGTCATCAAGTACACGTGAAAATCGTTCTCAGATTCATGCAAGAACGTGCCAGTTGGTTTAGGATAGTGAAGTACCGTTAGTTATGCGTGCATGTACTAGTACATGTTCGACCAACAGGACTCGTTTGTTGGGTTTTAGGGACGAGGGAATGAATATGGAGAGGTATAAGTCTAATATTACCTTCAGCCTCGTGAATATGGGCGAATATTTACTACCGTATTTCCTCGATTAATGGACCATGCTCGAATAATAGACCATGCTCAAATAGTAGACCCTCCTAGAGGCCTCACGGAAAAATAGTAGACCATGCCCGAATAAGAGACCCGGTCTCATATTTGAGTTCATCGCTTTGCGCATGCGCACTAAGAAAGCACGTGGTAGATCAAAAAAGGACGCGATTTTAGGTTGTTCAACTACAACTTTTGTAGTGGCTAGTGCTTTCTTTCATTATTTTTTAATTTTGAGCACGGTCCACTATATTTTCATGGGCACATCGCTGGAAATGGTGGATTTTTAACACGTCATAATATAGAAGTTCTATAATCCACCATTTCCAGCGATGTACCCATAAAAATATAGTGGACCATGCTCAAATAATGGACCATGCCCAAATAAAAGACCGGGATCCAACCCTCTTCAAAAAACAAAAGACCGGTTCTATTAATCGAGGAAATACGGTAGTTATACAAACTTCGGCTTCGCCTCGGTTTTTATACGTATAGGATATTGACCAAGACGAGGTCTATATTTCCCATATAGACCGAAGTTGAGGTCTATATCCTATTTAACACGATTCCTTTGCCATAACCCCAAAATTCAAAACTTTAGGAGCTATACAAATAATCTACGTAGAGATAATAATTTTAATATAGCTATGAATAGGATGAAGGCCGCAGACATCACGCAACTACGTTACTTGTTTGACATGTATTTACTGTGTATTTTATAACAAAAAGGCCCAATATCTGGGATAATCGACCTTCGGGGCTGTTTTGGTGAAATTTATTTTTTTAATGCTAATTAATGTCTAGCCTTTGTAGAGTATTTTTGACTTCGTTTCACGGCCACCAGACCAATATTGACCATTTAGAAATGCATTTCACAGTCAGGAGTCATGTTAATGAATTGTTCTCAAAAAGAGACTGGATGCATTATTTCGGAAAGAATTTCTACGAGGTTTGGTTGTGGTGTCGATAGGCAGTGAGTTGTAGTGGGTGAGGGCACTGTTGATGGGGGAATCTCGGTGGCTGTTTGTGTGGGCATGTCCGATGGAGCAGGTCCTTGTCTGTCGAAGGGTGTCGAAGTCCCTCCAAAGTCGAAAGATTACAATGTCTAAGTGGTCGATGCAAGCGGTCGATATTGCGGCGATATGGGTAATATAGGACCAGTCAAGGATCACGAGAATTAGTGGAGGTCGACATAGAAGAGTGATGCTAGTGAATATTCGCCCATATTCACTCGGCTTCAGGTAATATTATATACTTATAAGCGCGTGCTTATATTTTTTCAACACCCCTGTACCCTGTGCTTATATTGGAGTCCGTGCTTTTGTTTTTTCAACGAATACATCCATACAGAGCAAGAAGAAATACATGCTGGATATCATGCATGCAGCATTGATTTCCACCAAGACCGTGCTAATAATAGAGACTGTGATTATAATGTTTCAAAGGGTGATCACAGTGTGCTAGTATTAGAGATTGTGCTAGTGATGGAGACCTGCGCTTATAATAGAGAATATACGGTATTATATTTTCGCAGATATATTCCGAATAGGCCAGGACCGAAGACCCCCTCGACTTGGCCCCGGCCTTTGGGGAATCCATAAATAAATCCATAAATAAACTGCGGCTTGGAACACTTTGAATACGAACCACGCACTCAAACTAACTAGACTACCGCATAGCTGGTGCATTCACGGAGCCAAAGATGTCTCCTTCTACCCCCACAGAGCCTTGGTTACTTCTCTAGAAGGGATGAGAGCTGTACCTAAATTCAATCAATTCTCCTATTCCAAAACCCTCAAATGAAGGTGTCTTGGTGACTTCGTTTCCCGCGGTTGAAAAATAAAATCCACCCTTGAGCACCCCTTGGCGCACGGCCTGGGAGCGAGCCACTCTGTGGCGCTCCAGATGAGAGACTAGAGGGAACCGGCTAGGGCAGATAGAGATATGCGGGAACTTGTTCCGTTCTTTAGCCGTTGGATGGGGGCAGTACCTTGAACAACGGTGGGTCCGTGGATTGAGCGGAAACAACGATTGCAGATGTCGCAATGAGCACTTCAGCAACTCCGAGTGGTAATATAAACAGTGGCAGCAGCAGCTGAGGGGATCGGTACAAAGCATGAGCTAGAAGCGGTGCAGTGATGCACAGCCCAACCATCGCTGCTCTGGAAGCAACGATGGCACTGATTCACCTCTCTCCTCCAAAACCGGCTTCTGCCGTTCAGCAGCGAACGCACAAACACACGCACACACACACACACCCCACAAACACAAACACACATACACGCACTATATTCTTCTGATGTAGCTGATTCACTTCACTCAATTAGATCCAACACTCATGTAACATATAGAGCACTTCCATGTACATACTCAATGGCCAATGGTGGAAAACCAGAATTGTCGAAAACTGCAAGATTCACAGTTTTCAGCACATTGTTTCTATACCATCATTTATTTATTTTATTTTTGCACTCTGTGCATCGCGCCGTTCTCAATGAAATCAAAGCCGGATGAAAGACCGAGAAATCATAACAAACAAAACAAACTGATATTGATAATACAAAAAGTAAACCCATTTTTAATGGGAACACCATAACCAAAGAAACTGTACATGTATAAGTACACAGTTTATGGCACCAGGGCAGAATCAGCAGGCGCCAGCACAGGCGAACAAGACAGATGTCGAGGTGGGTTCCGACTGTGACCATGTCAACTGGCAACCATTGCCCGAACAAGGCAAAAGGAAATCTTCGCCCGTACGAAAGCTAATTATGACGGGGAAAGGCTCAAGGCGCTTATCACTAAGCTTGCTGGCAATCCTGGCGAAGAGGGCCGAACCAGCTTTCCCCCGCCCACCAGTTGTAGCGAAGACCACGGGAACAAACGAGGAATGCTCCACCTCCAGGACTCGCCGTTCATACTTGCGCCGCCACTCCTGCTGGTGCATTCTGTAGACAGACGGGATAGTATGGTTTCGGCTGGTAGGGACAAAAGGGTTAAACACCCGAACATCAAACATTGTCCTCTCTAATCTACTCCCATGAACTCCACGTGCTGCCACATCCATAGTAGCATGAGCCTCCGTGTTGGCCAATCGGAGAGGGAATGTTTCACCCTAGAGGGATTCCAACTCTGGCTCCACGCTGACGCCGTTCGCAATCTCCAACAACAGATTAGCGGTGAGATTTCGGAGCTGGTTGTGGCGCATCCCAGTGTATGCTCCGTAGGCACATGACAGGGCATCGTGGTGTCAAAGGGATTTTTGCAGGTGCAGTTAGACGGCAACCCAGGATGCTTTCAACCGTGGCGCAGGCATAGGGCATCCCAGAAGCCAGGCTTGTGAGTGGTGATCTCTCTCTCTCTCTCTCTCTCTCTCTCTCTCTCTCTCTCTCTCTCTCTCTCTCTCTCTCTCTCTCTCTCTCCCTCTCTGTCGCTGTCTCTGTCTCTGTCTCTGTCTGTCTCTATCTCTCTCTCTCTCTCCGTCTGTCTCTCTCTCCTCTCTCTCTCTCTCTCTCTCTCTCTCTCTCTCTCTCTCTCTCTCTCTCTCTCTCTCTCTCTCTATCTATCTATCTATCTCTCTCTCCCCCTCTCTCTCTCTCCCACTCTCTCTCTCTCTCTCTCTCTCTCTCTCTCTTTCTGACACACTCTCTCTGAGCCAATTAGAGGCACCTTTCTCCACAGCTATATCAAGATTCCGCTTGTGGTGGTAACTCATTGTGTCTTTGAGGGAGGAGAGGGCCATTGCCTGATCCTGGCGACTAGCCTTTCGTTGGGCCGCCTCGTCTGCGTTGGTGGCTGCAACAACTTCCTCGAAGGAGCTGCTCAACGATAGGTCTGGTGACAGACGTAGATGCGTCGCACTGCTGGGCAATGGTACTTGGTTTTAGAATTCCCAAACCACTATGGCGACAGGGGAGAGCCAAGATTGAACGTTCTTCCTCGCCTGGTGCCTGGCGAGCAGTCAGTGCAGGGTGGAACACTTGGCTGTTTTAGCTTTCCAGCGGTGTCAGGAGGTCCGCTGTTGCTAGCATTGTCCTCGCAAGGAATGACCACTTATGGCAGACACCATGCCTTAGGACAGCGTTCGCAGCCTGATGTTGAGACGCCCCATGTTTGTGGAGGGTCTGCAGCTCTGCGCACCATGTGTCTACTTTCCGGGACACGCCATCATCCTCAACACTGGAGGTTTCAGCTGAATAATACAGTAAATCTATGCTCGAATTTTGCCCGTCGCATTCAAATATTCTTTTTGGTGTTAACGTTCTAGAACATTCGAATTATTCAAATGTTCCCTGCATCATTAATAGTAACTACTCGGAGACAGTAGTTCTCTTTCAGGGTGGCCATGGCCGTGGGCATGTCAGAGGAGAGGAAGTCACCAACATCGACGCGGACATGGAGGCAGACGTGCACAACCGGTTCCCGCAACGCATATTCCACATGGAATATGCCCCATGCCCCATGTGGAGGTTCATACAAGATTTCTTATAAGGCTGAAGGATATCAAACCTATTCAATGGATGCACTTGTCGAATGTGACTTGCCACAAGAAGATGGAATTTGAAGCTATTTCTTTTACGGCGCTGGCCATTGAACTCGGACTACTTTCTCAAAATTACGCTGCGAGTAATGTTTCGGAATGTTTAAACTATGCATGCTGTGAAAGCTGAACGTCGTCCCGAGCTACTTGTATCGGGGCACAGAAAGTATGTCGGTGGCCATGATTCACTGTTCAGCTCCACACAAATGAAAAGCTGAGATGTAAAACCTGATAAGCACCAAATTTGAGAAAATCAGATTTTAATCGCAGTGTAATCAAAAGGTCTAGGGGCACACATGAAAAAAACTGACTGGAATCGGTAACGGTTGGATATACCGGTTACGTCGGGGCCGGACTGGCCGCCATGTTGTCCGTGTTTGCAAAATTGGCAAGCTGTTAAATACCTGCATATTTGAGGATTTGTTAAGTACTGTATGAAGTAATCTACTAGTATCTGCAACTAGATCTTGCTAAGAGGATTCTTGTGCTGATCTTGTACATGTGACATTACTTGCTCGGGTGTTAGCGGCCGTCGTGAGTTCCCTTCGTGAACGGACACGGTAATTTACTTTTTTTTACTTGCTCACAGTAATGAACCTTTCTCTACCCTTAACTATAGTCCGGTGATCAAATTGTGACCAAGCTTGAAAAAGATACACACGTGCTGATCCAAGCACTTCAAAGTAGTACAATCATCTTCTTTGTCACTGTGTGTGCCTCTGCTATGCCCAGTTCTACCCAACATACTGTCGTTCAACACATCGGATTATGTGGACAACAGCAACACAGTGCACCCCATGAGTTGTACAGGTCAGGGATACCCCGAACCTACAGTGACAGTAATGGTCGAGAATATGGTAGTGACTGGCACTGATACAATCAATTGTGCTGCTGGTGTTTGTACAAAAACACGAACAGCATCACTAGATGGTAGTACCTACACACCTGGTGACACCATCAATATCACCTGTACTGTGGATATCAACCAACCACCATTCACCTGTACTGCTGCCCAGAATTCAACTTTACAGGCACAGTGTAGTACATCTATCCAGACCAGCTCACAAACAAGAACGGTTCCTGCAATTGGTAAGACTTAAACGCCTTATTGGTAAGACTTAAACGCCTCCAGAACATTTGGTTGCTGTTGAGCGAAGAACAATGAAATAGGGATGGACCGATGTCTGGCATCTCAATACCGTGTTGAAGGTGTTTTCCAGGTTTACTGTGGTTGACAGCTATTGATTTCCCCGATACGTTTGAGCTCGTCATAATTCTGGATCCTTAAGCTCTTTAATGAACCCAGGCTTTCAATATTAGTATAGTAGAACCAACGGTATGATGGAAAATCAAACGATGCACACTCAAAATTCAGGAATTGTCTTCTCGTTGCCATTTCAGTGGAGACCCACAGTGTTTAGGTTAGGGTTACAGCCTGTCAAAACCGAAGACGTTTATTTTGCGCCATTACCTGTGCATCTGCCTCACTAACGCCGTCGATTATACAAAGAGTACATTATCCATTGGTTTCAGGGAATTGAAAACGGGAAAGCCGGAACACAAAGTTGACTACCACCATCAGGAATCGAACCAGGAAACATCGATCATGAGCTACATCTCATGTGCTGAAGTTCTTGGAGTAAATTATTAATAAATGAAACATTAGATTCTTGAAATCAAAGTCAAGTGTAGTGGTCAGCTATACACAGTATAATTATACTGCGGTGCTCAAGTGTTGTGTGGTAAGTACAGAGCCAGTAGCTTGCGCAGTGGATTGTTCTATCGAAAATCAATACACAAAAATCAACACTTGACAAATTTACAAACCCTATGGAGACATTAACCATGACCCATGGTACATATCGCCAGGCCAATAATTACCCCAAGGATATAAGGAGGACACTGGGGCGACCTCTGGCACTGCACAAACTGACAATAACATTGCAATTTCGTTTGCCGTGGTATGCTCCTGCAGCAACTCAGTATCATCACCTTGCATCACATTCTACAGCACTTGAGCTAGACTTTAAGGCTTACTCACCCAGCCAAACGACGTAACTGTTCTGTACACTTACCTACCATGATGGTGGTGATCACCTCTCTAAGGCATGTACCCAATTATATTACACACTTCTTTCCAAACATGCATGCTTTCCAGTACATGAACGCAAGCTCTCCCATTCCAAAAACTTGTTCACTGTCATGTCGGGGATGGTTGTTGTTCTTATTGCCGCTTCCATGAAATGTCACACATTCTTTGTCCTATTGATATAATGTGAATAATTGGTTTTCAGCAGAAGACAAGTGGAAAAACTCCGGTATACACTTGTGAGCGAGGGCTAACTAGGTATTGTCTGTTTCTAATGGTATTGAAACATTGCAGGACTTGCATCTTTGAGTTTTTCACCTATTCTGAGTAATCAAAGTGAATTATGCCTCTTCATATCTAGCGCAATGTCCAAATCTCACTGACGGCCAATTCAATTACAAACCTATTGCCAGATTCGACACACAACCAGGTACCCCAGTATCCATCGAGTGCAGAACAGGTTTTCTGTCTAACAATAGTATGGAAATAACTCAGTCTACATGCCAAAGCAACGGAAGGTGGCAACCAATTCAACCAATGTGTGAGAGTAAGTCTGTACCTCAATGCATACCAGTTATGCAAGCACATCTCAATATTACAGGAATATCCAGTGTCTGTTACATGCAAACAAACATTCACATTTTGGGTTTGGATTAGGAACCTGTCCACGCCTTTTAGGTAAGGCTTGGTCCCATGGTCCTTGTACCAGCCACAAGGAATTTTTCAAAAATCTGCATATTTCTCTTTCTTCAGAGTGTAACTTCAGTTCTACTCACCCAACGAGAGAGCTTGGAAGCTCAGGGCCCTACGCTATGCTTTTAGCTTTTTTGCCTAGCTCATCGTACATGTGATAAGAACTGATGGAATTGTCTTTTTCCGTTGATTGGCCACATCACTGTATTGCAAAAACGTTTCAATCGGTTTGAATATTATGAGTTAGGCAAAAGTATTTGCAGAATTTATTGCGGATTGTTGTTTCTCTAATAATTATCTACTTTTGTTTTGCTCCTTCTTTAATTTGTATCTCCTTATATTGTAAATATACAAATAATCTACGTGGAGATAAAAGTTTAATAATAGCTATGAAAAGTATGAATGCCGCAGACATCACCACGCAACATGATAATTTGTTCAAGGTTTTGTTTTGTGTGTTTCCAAAATCGATTTTCACGCTCCGATTATCAGTGGAAATACGGAACTAAAGAGATCAAGGGAAAAAACAAAGGTTAAAAATCCAACGAAGTGTGACACATGACGGGTAACTTGTGGTAAGTATTACAAAAAGTGAGAACTAAAATAAAGAGTAAGTGTGGCAAACGGGCATTTATTTTAGTTCTCACTTTTTGTAATACTTACCACAAGTTACCCGTCATGTGTCACACTTCGTTGGATTTTTAATCTTTGTTTTTTCCCTTGATCTCTTTAGTTCCGTATTTCCACTGATGATCGGAGCGTGAAAATCGATTTTGGAAACACACAAAACAAAACCTTGAACAAATTGTCATGTTGCGTGGTGATGTCTGCGGCATTCATACTTTTCATAGCTATTATATTGTAAATCAACAAATTTTGGCCGATGAGAAATAGAAACCTCTCGATTAGAGAGGTTAAGATGCACGTTATTTCCGACGTGACGCGCAGTTTCACGTCAAATTTGAAATCGATCGGTATTTTTGCTCTCACATGCATCCATTGCTCAATCATGCATCATTTGCCTATATGACAAACGTTGGCCTGCGATTTACTTTGTCCGGTTGGTACCAAGCGGCGAAATCAGCGAAATTAAATCGCCAGCGAACATTAGTTGATTTTAATACAGGAATCGGATTTTCTGGCCTTTTTGTAGTAATACATGTACATTGACCTGTTGAGCCAATGACGACGCCGAATGCATGGTTGCTTGTGGAGCACATTACATAACTTTACAGTCTCCTAAAATACGTATCCTGTCCGACGGCATAAGAGGCTGCAGATTTAGTTTTTCTGCGCGTCGACGGGATGTCTGCGACGCGAAAGTTCGGCTCTCGTTATTTGGCTCGCACGTCGAAAAATCAACGCGAGTGACCTGCTGCTCACGTCGAAATTTGGACATTACATAACTTTACAGTCTCCTATATAAATACGTTTGTTTGTTTCTTTCTTTTATTTGAATTCGTTTAGAGCACAGGCAATTCTGCCTTCTCACCAGAGGAAAAACCTCCGGTTTCTGCTAAGAACGAATATAATATTTTGAGAGAAGGAAATATTAAAAAGAATCATAACATGATAATTCCAAAGCACAAAGTTTGTATATAATTCAAATGGGTGTGTGTATGTGTAAGCATGCAGTGAAGAGAACACCGAGAAAACATGCAGTAATGTGTAGGGATGCCGAGCAAGGTGGTTACAAATTACAATTAATTCTGTTCAGAGCCAGTTTAAAGGCAACCGCCGCACTGTGGAGGCGAATATCGCTGGGAAGGGCATTCCAAAGAGTGCTTCCCACAAATGTCAATGACTGACGACCGGAAGGTCCAGGAAGGAAAGGCACTTGCAGTAGCCGCTGCTCCTGTCCTCGAGTAATTCGGCGATCATCCCGGGATGCTTGGCCTGTGTTAGCCATCAACTGAAAGTAGGTGCAGAAAAGAGGACTTGCAAGATCATGTAGGCAACGGAAAACAAAAAACAAAACCTTGTAGTTAAAAATGTGAGTTAGGGATCGAATAGATAAGCGCACGAGGAGGGGGGCTGTGGATGCACGGCTGGAGAGTCGGAAAATTGCACGAATTCCGGATTTGCTGGATTTGATTAAACGACTCTGCAGCTGCTGTGTCAGCGACGGGAAGAATGCATTGGATGCGTACGTTAGTCGTGCTTGCACAATGCCAATGTACCAAAGTCTGCGGGCTCTTATGGGCAGAGATCGCCCATGACGCCATAGCTGGCTGATGGCGACTGACGCCTTCTGCACAACACTGGAGACATGTGGCTGCCAGGATAGCTGGTCATCAATGGTTACGCCAAGGTATTTGGCAGTGGAGGTAACAGTTAAAGCTTGATCCTTACATTTCACGACTGGTATGTCGCCAGTGAGTCCCCGAGGTTGAATTACCATGACTTGGGTTTTGCCAGTATTCAGCAGAAGCCCAATTTCGGAGAGCCAGTCAGACAGACGTGTCACAGCCGTAGTCAACGTCTTGCAAACAGTGTCCAGTTCTGAATCAGAATAATCTAGGATGATGTCGTCCGCGAACTCCTGATGAACAACAATGCAAGGTATGACGTCGGAAATGTCACTCGTGTAAAGGACAAAGAGAAGCGGCCCAAGAACACTGCCTTGGGGCACACCTCTTGAGCATGGGACTGCATCAGACAGAGCCTCACACACCTTGACACGCTGAGTACGACCAGACAGATAGCTAGCCAACCATAACAATACTCTGCCATTGACTCCCAGGGTGAATAGTTTATCAATCAGACGTTGATGTTGGACACGGTCAAACGCTTTTGACATGTCAACCATCACAATACCTGTGTATTTTCGCTCTTGTTTGGCCAACAGCCAACGGTTGGCGGCTAGAACTAATGCATCCTCGGTAGAGTGCATTTTCCTGTAGGCAAACTGACTGCCAGGTAATATGCTATGTTGCGTGAGGTATGCTGTGAGTTGCTTCTTTACAAAGAACTCCAAAATCCGGGACAGAATAGGGAGCAATGACACTGGTCTATAGTTAGTAGGGGATGTTGCATCGCCACTCTTGAACAGTGGACTAATGTGTGATGTTTTAAAACACACTGGCACAGTACCTGATGTCAAGGATGCATTGACTAGGGTGGTAAATGGAGGTGCCAGGGCATCTGAACACTGCTGCAGTACAATTCCAGGAATGTTGTCACTCCCAGATGCTTTGTGATCACTCACAGTTTGCAAGCATTGTGCAACATCAGACACGCTTACCGGCTGAAATGTTGAGAAGCTAGATGCAGAGGCTGGACCATGTGGTATATGCAGCTCAGGTGGCCGCATAGGGTCATGCACAATGTCTCCAAACAATTTACTGAGTGACTCAAGCGGCGCTTCAAGTTCTTTCCGTGTCTTCTGTCGGCCTGTGACATCGTTCATGACAGCCCAAAGTTGCCGTTGATCTGATGTATCACATCTCTTAGTGAAGTACAAGTTGCGCAGACTCCTGTCCAACTTCCGTGCTTTGGAGCGAGCTGATCGGTGTGCTTCTTGAAGGTTCTGATCGGTTTTGTCTCGGAGCCAGAGACGATGCGCCCGGTTCCGTTCACGAACACTTGCCACTAACTCATCTGTAATCCAGGGGCAAGGCCGTCGAGATTTGCGGCGCCGTTCCCGAAGTGGAGCATGTTTGTCTAGAGTGGTCTGGATTCCCGCAGTGAGTGACGACGCAAGCACATCCACACAGACAGAGTCACAGGTAGTTAGCGTCTTCTCCAGGTCACATGCCCTGTATACCCCAACAGGCAGCCTCAGCAGCCCCAGCATACGATCAATGTAAACTGTCATGAAACGCCTATTCCTGTCGTTACTACGGCCAGGTATCTTGGAGTGCTCCTCGACTCGGATCTGTCATGGACGCCCCATGTTGATCGCTGCACCGCTCGACTGGCCCAGAGGATCGGAGCACTATGGAGGTTGCGTCGCTGCTTGACTCATCAGAGCCGAGCTCTCTACTTTAAAGCGATCATCATGTCTGACCTGATGTACGGATCCAATGCGTTTTCCCAGCTTCTTACTGCCAACCAATTGGATCGGCTACAAGTCATGCAGAATCGGGCGGCAAGGGCGGTTTTCGGACTCTCGCATCACACCTCCGCGCGTACCCTCCTGCTGCAATTGGACACCTACAGAGTATCCGAGATATTCAGGCAGAAGTTCATCGTTCTGGTCTGGAGGTCTCGGAATGAGCACGCAAGTTCTGAACTGCAAGCCCTCCTAGTTCCTTCGTCAGCTGGCCCAACTAGGTTGCACTCCACCATGGGTCTGCGCCAACCGCCAGTTTCCACCAGGTTCGGCAAGGGTTGCCTCGCGTTCCGGGGCGCCCAGCTGTGGAACACATTACCCAGCGATATACGTGCCATCTCCACGCTCCGCCAGTTCCGCGCCAGCATGATCCCGCACACACTTACTGGCCTTAGCACCTAGAGTACCAAACGTCCTGTTTGATGATCAGCTGGCTTAGTTTTTCTCCACCTCTATCCTAATTACATCAGTCCCCAATTTCATTTATTACTGCTTTCTATCTGCATTCGCCACCTTTTCATTGGGCAGATCTGCCCGTTTGGTTTACGAATTAAAATAAACACAACAACAACAACAACATGTAAACATATTCCAATCCACTTTGTGCAAACAGCGAGTCTTGCGCAGATGCTGTCCCTTCAAGTGGTAACTTGCTGAAATTGGCAGCCTGGCAAGTATTGCAGAGTGGTCACTGATATCCAAATGTATGGTCTCGCAAACAAGAATAGACAAGAATAGATCCAGTAGTGAGGAAGTACTGCTGGTTACTCGGGTAGGAGATGTGACGTGGTTGCGAAGGTTAAACTGGTTACGTATCCTGTTCGACGGTAAAAGAAGCTGCAGATTTAGTTTTTCTGCGCGTCGACGGGATGTCTGTCCTGACGTTTACTGGGACCGGCGCTGACTCTGCCGATCATGGGCGTTCTGGACTCGACGGGATGTCTGTCCTGACGTTTCCTGGGACCGGCTTAGACTCTGCCGATCACGGGCGTTCTGGACTCAACGGGATGTCTGTCCTGACGTTGCCTGGTACCGCCGGACTCTACCGATCACGGGCGTTCTGGAGTCGACGGGATCTCTCTTCCGACGTTTCCTGTGACCGGCACTGAATCGCTCGTTCACGCTTATTTTGGAGACGACGGGATCTCTCTTCCAAAGTATGTTTATGCTGACGCATCCTATCACCTAATCGGCGTTTATTCTAATTTAATTTCCTCCTCGTCTCCCTATTTCTTTCCAAATCCCACTCTACATCAGGGAGTCGTATGCATAATACGGCGAATATTGGTACGGTACGGGCCAGATACAGGAGCCCGCAAATATTGTGGACAGTTGTTATATACAATCCTGTAGAGCCTTTGTAGTCACAGATACGGGACAGATACGGGACAGATACGGGATAGCGCCAGGCGTGACACAAGCAAGCAAACAAACAAACAAACACACACACAAATACCAAATTAAAGCTGTGTTGACCCTGGCTAGCGCCAGACGTTACTGAAGTAACGTCTTCTGCATAGCTACGGGAATATAATTATAGTTCATCCAGTCAGCGAAAAGTCTGAAGAAAGAATAAGTGATGTCGTTTGGAGTCGTCCTCAATGTGTGCCAATTGCCGCTATCGCAGCTTGTTTTGCGAGTGATTTATCTCTGAATCTGCTGGTCGTAGCTCGTCGCGTATTTTTTCTATTGAGAGCTGAGAGTTATCTCTTGGATCTCGATATTTGTATCGTTGAAATAGAGCGATTTTGGACAGAGTTACGATCATTTGAAGTTCTCCACGTGGGTGCGACGAATGCGTCGAATTCGACGGACTAATGTACACATCGATTAATAAAGGGTTAATAATGGATACAGTGCCGCTCAGGGCCGGGTTCAAGTCCTGGTAAGGTTGGAGAATTCAACGGAGGATATCACCTCAAGTCGAAGCCCATTCTTACAGGGGTCGAAAGTATTATAAGACTTTTTTTCATTTCTCCACTCCAGATTGCATGTTGGTATGCAATGACACTAATGTGGTGGATTGTAATCATGTACCAGCAGTGGGAATGACAATGGCAACTGTCAACTGTACTTGTGGACAAAACTTCCAATGGACCATGGGTGAATGTCAACGTAAGTGCATTGCTGTATATAACGCAACCTGGATTCTTCCTGCAGTTGTTTGAGCGCGTTTTTCAGCATCGGGAATACAACTCGCTCGACTCTGTATCTAATGAGTTAAGAGGACCCACACCTTGACCTGGTGAGCTGCGGCATGGGGCTTTGCTGTCAGACGTGGTGCCATCTTATTTATTTGCCTTTCCGCAGCGTTGAAGTAAATACTTTAATGCTTTGTAGCTGTGTTTTGAAGAGTGGTTGTCAATTGACTAGCCAAGGGAAGAAGGAAGGACAAATAAGTTACGAGTCATGACTAACTGTCCACGAAAGTAACAAAATAATACATTTTTTGTTCTTTTCTACAAAATACACAGCTCATCGGCAGGCACATGGGGCTAGCCTTGGGTGAGATGGTGCTGGTGGGGCTTGCCATGCTCAACCGACCAGAGGTCTCGGCATCTTCACATGGCAGGCGCACCAAATTCGGGAGGGAAGCATAAGCATGAGGGGAAAAAAGCAGGGGAGAAAATGGAAGATTTAGAACGAAGGAGAGGATCTAATTTTGGAACACAGCAGAAAACAGCAAATGATAAACAGATAATAGGAGTGAAAGGAGAGTGTCAAATGAAGGGTGCAATAGGGTAGCAGTGGAGATTGGCTACTCAGGATCGGCGACAATTAGGCTTGGGGTGGGAGAAGCAGGAGCATAATCCCGGAGGAGGCGAAAGGCGGTCGGTTGCCCAGTCCCAGTCAGACTGCCTCGGGTGGTCATATAAAGTCAAAAAGTGCGACAAAATCGTACAAACCTGACAAAGATATTGAGACTTTCAGCGACCTGACACTTAGCTCGGACACACCTACGAAGCGCAACCCAACAACCTTCCAACTTAGAGTGCTCAGATGCGGGAATATCCAATGAGGGGAAGGGACACGCCACAAAGATTTGTACGAGCTATGTCCCTCGGAAACAAAGGATGTCAGGCGTTTTTGGTTGATGATGACGAGACTAGTAGCACTATCTCACAAACCTGTCTTACTCCAAATAGGCTATGCGGTGCAAGAGCCCACCCAACTTGGGAGGCTCAATGGTATGAAAGAATATAATCTAGAACGGAAGCCAAGCGAAGACGAATTGTCACAAACCAATAGTCCTTATCCTATTAAACTCCTATTAAACTATTAAACTCCTATTAAACTATCCTATTAAACTCCATGTTGGCCTGGTTTGGTCAAATAACAAGTGGTTTCAGACGACGTACCTTTCGCCGTATTGCTGGTGGCGGCTCATCAGCTGTGCTTAATAAAAATTGGGATTTTGAGCCAAGAGTAATGTGTAAAGAGAAAAGGACCTATAAGTTACCAGTTATCACTAACAGATAGGCTAAGATGTACTTCATTGTGCATGTGTGAGCAGCAAGCCACAACCTGTGTTCTGCCAGCTTAACTATGCAGCAACAGTACAGCATTGTTGTCACTCAATTACTCCCACTCTGTTCGGTACCATCACAGAGAATTGACGGTATGACTACATTGGGAATTACTATAATGCCCAGGCGACAACTGAACCTCTACTGGACATGACAAATTCATGAGGAGGTCTGATGGTAAACACACCCAGCAGGATGTGCACGCACTAGCAACACGTACACATGACGAAACCTGTACAGTACAATGTACTAAACTATGCTGTCCTTGAGCGCGCTCTGAAACACTTTCAGTACTAGGGGACAGAATCAAGTTACATTTAAATGCAAAGAACCTCGATTGAAAATCCTCAGATTCTGTCGGAACATGTACCGAGTCTCTCAGCTCGTAGCAGGGCCATCAGAATGTAAGCCATTTTAGCCATTCCCTTCACCTTCCCCCCTCCTTCTCCTTGAATTGCTCCACGTTGAGCAGCATGACCGTCAATGCTCACGTTGACTCTTGCCCTTGAAGGTACCACCATTTGATTACATGCTTTGATTATCTGCGACAAGGACTCATCCTGGATCTGCTTTACCCTTTCCCGCACACGTATCACTGTTGGAAAAACTGCAAACGGAATCACGGAAATGTCTGCGGAGCGCTTCTCCATCGCGATTGCTCATGCATATCAGGCTTAGGTCGCTATTTGCTTTGGTTGGCTCACATGTAGTTGCGATCTAGATTTTGAGGTTTTGAGTACGTCGAAGTAGTTCTAGTTATGTGCTGGTGCCTGCGTGCGTGCATTTCGCTCTGTTCTATTTTGCAGTTACTTCTATGGATCCAACGACTGCCACGGGTAGGTTCTAGTCTGCCGTTTTTTTTGCTCTGCACTTGTACATGTACTGACTGCACCGAATTTTGAAAGCACACTATAATCAATGGAAAAAAGGAAAAAAAAGGTGGAGCACAAGTTGGACTCCACCAACTAAACCAGGTTTTGAACAGTCCTTGTTTAAAAATGTTATAGTATCTGGAAATTGTTAGATTGCCCTAAACCAGAATATGGACCTCGCTCTGCTCGAGCTTTCCACACTCCGCCAACTGCCGCAGAAACTCTCAATCGAGGAGTTGAACTCGTTACCCCGCCCGGACCTTGACTCCCTCAGGAACTCCGGAATCGGAGCTCATCCGCCACACCATGGCTCTCCATGAAATGCTGCACTGATAGACACAATTAAAGATCTGTCTACCACTCTAACCGCGGAAGTGGTCTCTCGGCAAACAGGCAGAGATCGAGTCATAGCATGCATAAAGAAAACAATTGATGAACTGAAAGCAGTAGTTCTCCAACTCGAAGAGGGTCGACAGCAGTCGACAGCTGCAGCATGTAACACCCCCAACCTGCTCAACCGTGAACATCCCCCATGACGTACTCCAGAGTGGGATTGCATGGTACACGTTTTTTTCTAGAGTACATGAACTCGATGAATAAGCTCAATAACGAAACCGTATAGTAACATGGAAAAATGTGGGCATAAGTTATGTGATCTAGTCCACCAACTAAACCAGATTTGGAACATTCAGACGTGCATTATCTAGCACATAACAAGGAGTACTGAGACATTCCACGGCATGAAAGTCAGCTTGAGCATTGCTCGGTAGCGATAGCCAGCGGCCTTCAAACTTGGAAGGTTCATGGATAATAGTATTGAAGTACAAATTCCAGTGGGGAAGGTGAGCTTCATCGACCCGAGCACAACCTACACATGATTCAAAGTCGTCATGGAATGCTTGCTTGGTGTGATAACGGGACATTAAGATCAGAAAGAACGGTCAAACCACAATTCTAAAACGCAAAGCAACAACGACCCAACTTCGGAGGATCTATATTATCAGAGATGAAGATATGAAGGCGAAGCTTCGCGGGGACGAACTGTAGCAAACCGAATCTGACTGTTTAAAATTCGTGTACTCGATTACATAACTTCGATCAACTTGTGCCCATATTCTTTCATGTTACAAAATATTTTCCTTGGCTTGCCTTCTGAATTTTTAAGAAAATGAATAACTTAAGCCCCATTCACACATGGTACAAAACCGCATACAAGCATCATGTTCTTTGAAGTGGGCATGGAAACATGCGCGAAAAGTGAAAAATCACAACGTTTAAATAGCCGTACCGGTACCCGTACGGTGCGCTCAGCTCATTCAGAAATCAAAATTCCGGCTCTCCGCTATGGGACTGGGTCACGCGGGTCACTTTTTACGTGTTTGGCATGCACTGCATTTGACTGTGTGAATGCACAGGCGTTGCAAGTGGCTTGTACCGTCATGTAAACGCGAATTTGTGTACCGTGTGTGAATGCAGCCTTAGAGCTAATATAGAAAGAAAAGGACATAATTATGGATACGAGTTAAGAGTAACTCTCCATCACTGTAACTGGATACTATATACAGTCAGAAAGTGCAATAACTACTGAAGTAGGCACAAAACTGACAGAGTACTCATACATTCGACGTCAACTATTAGTTCTAATAGTCAAAAAACATGATGGTAAAGACACACCTGGCAATATGGCGGTAAACACACGCCTGCCCACACACGCCTGCCCACACACGCTGTCTAGACTGCAAAGTTCTGGCGCATAGCTCTCCTTCTATCCACCTCCACCATCAGTTAGCGCCTGGCGCCTGGTCGATGCATGGTTTGCGGTATCCGGCTTAGCGGCATAAGTACAGCTGCAGTGGTGTCTTCAAATTCATTAGTGCTAATAGAAGAAAAGAAAATATAGCTCCCAAAAGCGCTAAATACAAACAGAAGAAAATAGTAAATATCATCAGCCATATAGGGCTAGATTTGCATCAAATAATATTAAAATGATACCAAAAACCGAGTGAAAAAAAGGATATTCTTACAAAGAAAACACAAGAGAAAGTTTGGAAGCTTTGTTACAACTCCGAGTTTCACGTATTAATACGATCATCTGGCAACTGATGGATCCAAAACGGGCAGCCAGAACATAAGGGGGAGCAAGGTGGGAAATTCCGAGGGGTGTGTCATAGGCGACGCATATCATAGCGCAAGAATCAGGTGCAGGCGTGAAGTTGCCAAGTCTTCAGACTTGGGGCTATGCAGCAGTAGTTCCGCCATGAATGATATAGAATAGAGCTGGGGACAAATGCCAAATCCACACATGCCCACACCACTACACAAACACATACCCACACTCTCTCCCTTTTCTCACATACACTCACACGCGCGTCCGCACACACATTCTCTAAATCTCTCTCTCACACACACACGCACACACACACACACACACACATTCATTCTCTATATCTCACACATGCACACACACGCACACACACATTCATTCTCTATACCTCACACACACACCTCAGACCTCAGACATGCCCATCGCGGAAGCGATGATAGCGAACAGCTATGTTAGACATAGCAACTTGTGCTGGGATTACACCATTCAACAGCTTGCAAGGCTGATGAATTGACCGCCACTATTTTTAGCCTGGTATCCACCACACAGCTGTTTGAAGTGACTTTTTCTGGCCAGTGAATCCCTATTTTTCATTTTTCCATTTTTTTTCTACAC